CAATAGCCCGCTATCTGCTGAGTTTTGGGTCATGGATGGACACAGTATACTGTATGTCCTCCTGTGACCCAAAAGAGGATTATGGGGGGAAAAAAATGTTGCCTCATCGTTCTCCTTTAAGGTAAGGGAGCCCTTGAAATGTGAACAGTGGCAAACTGACCTACTGCCTGATGGGTCTTGCATAGTTCTTGGGCCAATGACACCTGGCAGGTTCAGTGGTGAGGAACCAGCAGAGTCTCTCCCCTTTGATAAATAGCCTGTCTCCTACTGCCCACCAATGCATGGAAGCAATAGCATGACTACCACCTGATAGCTATGGTCCTTCTCCTACTGCCCACCAATGCATGGAAGCAATAGCATGACTACCACCCGATAGCTATAGTCCTTCTCCTACTGGCCATCAATGTAAGGGGGTACCTCTCCTAGTGACCATTAAGGTAAGGAGGCCCTTGAGTAGTGAGCAGTGGCAAACTGACCTACTCCTTGATGGGCCCTGCATACATCTAGGGCCATAGTCACCTGGCAGCACGGATGTATGCAGTAAAGGAGTATGCAGCAATGAAAAAGAAAGGGGAGAACAGTATTTTGCATGATTAGGGCTACACGGACATCAAATGGGAAATGCTGATGACCATTTCAAAAATATTGCTTAAACATTAAAGCTCAACTCCAGGATCTTTGTACAAAATACCCTTGCAGTGACTACGATTTCAGCGATTTGGTTCAGCATGATTCTGAACCCATTCTGGCTAGATTTTTGTACGCTTGCCTGAAACTAAGGGGGCCATGCATGCCCCCCATAACACGGGGCCATGCGCCAATGATTACCCCTTTGAGAAAAGCAGGAAAACATGACCTGCTGGTGGACATGAGGATTGGTTTTGTACGCTCTAGATCAAGGACCTTTTTTGTTTTGTTTTTGAATATCTCTGGCGAGCCGCTCTCTGTGGCGAGGAAAGGGTTACACATCTGTCAGCAGCTTCTGTGTCTTTATCCTGTTTAGGATTTGTGTGACGCTTTGCCAGCGCCTGGAGCAGCAGTCAGCATGGGTCATGCTATGTGGTGGGGAAACAGCTGTGACGGTCCTCCCGCGGACGTTATCACATGGTGTAAATTGCCAGTGAAATCTCCCAACTCCGCCGCTGCCCGACAGGTGACAAATAAGGGTGCCATGTGTCCCTTCAGTCTGCGCTAAGTGTAGATGTGGAGAAGGGGGGGGCTTTACATCTCACTGGTGGGGGACTTCTGTGAAATTCACCTGCTGCAAAGTCATTTGGCTGCTGCTAATGGATTAAAGGCTCAATCTCCCAAAAATTAAAATTCAGTTATGGGTGGAAGCTGAGAGGGGAGGCAAATCATTCCAAGGCTTATTCTAGAATCTGCTCCCGCTGTAGAATATTTCATATACTTGACATTATAGAAAATGCAGCAGGACAACACTGACTTACAGACAGCCAGAAAGATCATTGGGGAGGGACCAGCAGTGACTCTCGCCTCTGATAAGTAACCACTGACAACTATGACCTTTGTAGCTGTCCAAGGGTGACATTCCTTCCAATGGCCACCAATGTAAGGGGGGCCCTTCTCATACAGACCACCAATGTAAGGGGACCCATCTCCTAATAACCTCTGCATGGGAGCATTACCAAGACTACCACATGATGGTCATGGTCCTTCTTGCACTGGCCATCAGTATAAGGGGACACCACTCCCAAGTGACCATCAGTATAAGGGGACACCACTCCCAAGTGACCATCAAGATAAGGGGACCATGGAGTAGTGGCAAACTAACCTTCAACCTGATGAGCCTAGAACTATCCAGGGCCCAACATTACCTGGCTGGGTCAGTGGTGAGGGAAGGGCCCCCTTTACATTGGTGGCCATTGGTAAGAATGTCACCCTTGGAGAGCTAACGTTACCTGGTAGTATTAGTAGTGAGGGACCTGCAGAGGGTCTCCCCTCTGATAAACAACGACTGACACCAATAAGCTTTTTAGCTGTCCAGGGGTCATTCTTTCCAATGACCCCCCAATGTAAGGAGGGCCCTTCTACTGACCACCAATGCATTGGAGTACCACCATGACTAGCACTTAATCTCTCCCCTCTGATAAATAGCCACTACCACCAATGATCTTTTAGCTCTCCAAGGGTGACCGTCTTCCCAATCACCACCACTGTAAGAGGGCCTGTCGCCTACTGACCACCAATGCATGGTTGCACTCCCATGACTAGCACTTGATGGTCAATGTCCTCTTCCCCCCTGGCCATCAATGTAACAGTGGCACCTGTCCCAAGTGACCATCAACCCCAGGGGCCTCTTGAGTAGTGGCAAACTGATACTCCAAGGTGACATTGGCCCTGGAACTATGCAGGGCCAATCAGGCAGAATATCAGTGGAGAGGGACCAGTAGAGTCTCTACCCTCTGATTAGAGGCACCAAGGAGCTCTCCAAGGGCGACATTCTTCCCAATGGCCACCAAAAGTAAGGGGGCCTGTCTCCCAATGACCATCAATGCATGGGAGCACTACCATCTGATGGTCATGGTTCTTCTCCCACTGCCCATCGATGTAAGATGGCACCTCTCCCAGTGACCATCAAGGAAAGGACGCCCTACCATCTGATGGTCATGGTCCTTCTCCTACTGCCCATCGATGTAAGGTGGCACCTCTCCCAGTGACCATCAAGGCAAGGACGCCCTAAACAGTGAGCATTGCTAACGTCACCTGTCAGTGGTGAGGGTCCAGCAGAGTCTCTCTCCCCTGATAAGTAACAACAGACTTCGATGTTGGCCCTTGAGTTATAAAGATTTTCTCTCACTTCCTGTCCCATCTCTGGCACAGGAAGTTAAAGCAAATCTGCCCATTAAGGGGACACAGCAACACAAACATGACCCAAATACCCTTTCCGCATTCTATCCCAATCAGACACAAATAATTAAAAAGGTCTCCGACGCAAAGAGTTTTCAGACTTGACGAGATAACATTAACGTCAAGCTGGAGCAATCGAGACAACACTGGGCTACACTCATCACGCCAGCCGCCGCTTTATGAACGCCTGATGCGCCAAAGAAGCCGTAAACAAAACATCATTAAAAACATATTTATGAAATTAGCATTTATGAAATTAGGCAACCCAAATATTGATGGCATTTTCCAGTCACCCGGCCCTGGCAGGAGCCACTTCACGTCACAAGATGACAACTTCAATTATCCGGCTGGATTCATTAATTGCCGAGGCGAGTTACAGCGGTAAAGGATTTAAAGGAAAACTCCACTTTTATTATATAAAAAAACAACGACGTAACGGATAATTGGCACCCGACACATTTTGTAATTTAATGCTATTAAAAATGACCTTTCCGTCTCAATCTGCTGCCAGATACAAACTTTCTACAGCTGCCAAAAGAATTTAAAGGGAAGCCGTCATGGTCTTGCATCAGTTTCCTCCAGTCTTGTACGGTTGTAGCGGCTCCTCTCCTGGACTGAAATTGTTTCCTCTGATTTCACTGCACACTGGGAGCTTCTCACAATGTGCATTAGAAGCTGCAGCAAGTCAGATAGAGCCCGTCTCCTTTCCTGGCTGGAAGACGTCCAGCATCATCTATCTTTCCTTCCCAGTCTGACTGTCCCTGGCCCGCCCCCGTCATTCCCTGGATTTCAGTTCTTTCCATCATGGAGGTTCAGCAACATGTGGCCTGACTTCCTGATTGCCTGGGAAGCCAATGTTCTATCAAAAGAACACCGGCTTCACTTGCCGAGGCTGCCCGGCTTCCAAACCAATCAGGAATCCGGGCGGCGGGTCATGAGGTCCCATCTGGCTCCCTGATTGGTCAGGAAGCCAGGATGCCTAGCAAGTGAAGCCTGCTTCCTAGCCAATCAGAAAGCCGGGTCATGACGTGCCGCCGGCTTCCTGATTGGATAGGAAGCTGGCTTCACATGTTCCTAGCCTTTACATTTGAAAGGTTTTTTTTATATCTGTAGCTTTCACTCCAAAAATCCCTGCTGATCCTGCCATGAAGGTGCTTTTTCAGGCACTTCCTGTTATGGGGTGACTACTGTCTCCCAACATTGTGCCTGCGTTGTCACACTGTTACATGGGCTTCCGAAGGAGAACAACAATGAGGGTAGCAAGAGGACCTGCAAGTCAAAGATCAGGTGCCCTTTCCAGCTAGACAGGGTTGTTTAAATCTCAGGACTGGATGGACAAATACATCTGGATGGACAAATAAAGATGTATTCAGCGGTTGGAACTCAGCTTCTAACAACTACCTTATGTGGATAAAATGATTGCTGCCTAGGCAGCTTTCACATACATGACGAGCATTTGGATGAGGAAAATATCAGGAGGATAACAAACCAAAACTCAGCTAAAATATGCAGCTTACTGAACTGACCTTAAAGACCTCAATTCACCAGTGAAATGTTAAATGCTTGTAGTGAATAATTAAACTTGAGTTGCAGATATTAAAAGAGCCGTTTTGTATTCCTAATTAATGAAAACATTTGAAGTCCAATAAATAAGAATTGTCCCATCGTCAGCCGGGCTGTAGGCAAGGGTGGATGCTAGCCGGGGGTGAGAAGAAATCCGGGCTCACCCCCCCTGCTGTGCCAAAGCTAGAGCTGGCCAATCAAGGAGGAGTGTGATCCTTGCTGATTGGCCAGCTCTAGATCTGACTCAGCAGGGGGGTGTCGGACAGCTGCGGAGAGGTTTTTTTAACTGGAGTAAAACATTTTCAACTTACCTTTTTGCTGCACATTATATTTATTGGGATTATGTAAAGTTCAGCTTGGGTTTAAAGACAACCTGTCCCTCTGCCCTTGGGCAAAAAGCACGTCTGGGTGAACTAGGGTCCTTCAGAACACATGCACATTTCTAAAACATCTATCCAGCGATAGAACACGCATAATAAACGCTCCATCACTGCTCCCTCCCACAACTGTTTCAATACGAGTTCTACTATCAGAGAGACCACACATAAGAAGGGAACGAGAGCCCTCACCTGGTCCTGCTAGATGCAGCCACTCTCCTTTAGTTTGGCTACAAGGTGCTCTACGGTCTCCACTTTCACGCCAGCTTGTCTCTGCGGTGGATCCTCCACGCTCAGAATCTTTATACGGCTCGCCGTGTCCACTCCGAGATCTGTCGGCTTCAACGTCTCAATCTTCTTCTTCTTTGCTTTCTGAGAAAAGAGTCAACAGAACAGTTACTCTATGCTTCCAACTGGTCATGTGACATGTTGCTAATCAAAAAGAGGCTTTCGTATCGGCTAGGGATGCACCGATTCTAGTACCGGTGGCGATACAGAGTATGTGGGCCCAAATGTTCCCGATGGTTGAACTTCCAGTATCAGGAAGCCGGGTGGTGAGTCATTACACGCCTCACTGTTTCCTGAATGGCCGGGAAGACAGCTCCATGCACTTGGTGACAAGGTAGCATGGAGCCGGCCAATCAGGAGGCCGGGGTGTGTGTAATGACTTGCCGCCTGGCTTCCTGAGTGGACGGGAAGCTGGCCAAGCAGGAAGCCGGTCGGCAAGCCATTACACGCCCCCCACCCGGCTTCCTGATTGGTCAGAAATCCGGCTCCATGCTTTGTCATCTGGTGACGAGGGATCATGGTGACGGCTTCCTGGCTAATCAGGAAGTTTGGCGGTGAGTTATTACACACCGCCCGGCTTCCTTAATGGGACTTCCGGTATTGGTATTGGCAAATACCAAAAAAAATAATATCACGTGGGCAGATCCCGGAGAGCGGTGTCTGCTCAGCTGGCCGAAGAACTGGTACGGTAATGACTGCTGCTAAGGATCTATGTGAGGGGAATGATTTTGTCTGCAGGGTGCGGGTTGTGTCGCCATATTATCAGATTTGTTTGCCGGCTCAACACTGATTGCTTCCCGGCCAATCGGCATCGAGCCGGACCAAACAGCATGGAGCCAGCTTCATTGCTCCATGTCCCCTCACGGCACGGTCGGTCAGAGAAAATTTCCCGCTGACCGGAAGTTCCAGTGTCGGGAAAAGGTCTTGGCACCGACACTAGTATCAGTATCCGTGTATAGTGTAACAGACGAGATGTGGTGGTATATAGTGTAACAGACGAGATGTGGTGGTATATAGTGTAACAGACGAGATGCGGTGGTATATAGTGTAACAGACGAGATGTGGTGGTATATAGTGTAACAGACGAGACGTGGTGGTATATAGTGTAACAGACGAGATGCGGTGGTATATAGTGTAACAGACGAGATGCGGTGGTATATAGTGTAACAGACGAGATGCGGTGGTATATAGTGTAACAGACGAGATGTGGTGGTATATAGTGTAACAGACGAGATGTGGTGGTATATAGTGTAACAGACGAGACGTGGTGGTATATAGTGTAACAGACGAGATGAAGTGGTATATAGTGTAACAGACGAGATGCGGTGGTATATAGTGTAACAGACGGGATGTGGCGGTATATAGTGTAACAGACGAGATGCGGTGGTATATAGTGTAACAGACGAGATGCGGTGGTATATAGTGTAACAGACGAGATGTGGTGGTATATAGTGTAACAGATGAGACGTGGTGGTATATAGTGTAACAGACGAGATGTGGTGGTATATAGTGTAACAGATGAGCTGGCACTGCCGAGTTCATTCTCTAGATGTGTAAAGTTCTTACAAATGCATTTTGTTTAAATACAAAAACTGAACCAAGGAGCGCTTTATGTCTACAGCTAGTCTTTGGCTTTTACCCTTTTTGGCTGACAACCCAGTGTGGTAAAGTTTCCTCTCCAAGAAGTCTTGCACACTAGAGAAACTGTTGATGCAACTCTGGAATTTTAGACATAAAACACCTTTTATAACATTAGCACACATGCTAAAACTATTTACACAAAATCAGGTCATAAACCCGGGCAGTTGTAACTGAGCTTATAATAAAAAAAAAAAAAAAAACTCCCAGCAGAGGTCAGTTGATCAACCTCTCAAGATTTCCCTTTTAAGTCTTCATTTAGGCTCACGTAGGAGGGTGTGTTGTGAAACGCACCTCAATAGGACATGTTGCATCAAAGGAAATGCAACAAAACAAGCAAACACCGCCTCGCTGTACCACTGCAGTCAATATGTTGACCTGTGTTTGATATGCACTTTATAGGCAGGAGACCAACGCTTGCCTACGTAAGCCCTTACAGCCATAAAGGAAGACGCATATCCCAATGTGACATTGCATCCCTTCCAGACACCTTATTATTGATCAGATGACCATTGGGGTATCTGATCACTCCTAGCGGAAATAAACCTTTAAAAATTGGAAATTTGCCAGCAGGTCATTCTTTTGGTAGAGGACAAGTTCCAAGTCTCTTCTGCCAAAGAACTCTTACCTGCTACAAAGTATTTTCAATCTACACACTAACAATGGTGCATGCACAGTACAGTCCCAGCATCTAATGGATGTCAGGAAGTGAGCCAGGTGCAGAGATAAAGCAACTCTAGCGGTGTTTCATCAGGGTCTGCGCAATGGGTGAAGCATGAAGACAGCGAGCCTGAAAAAGAGAGGAAAATAACATGGCACTGGTGGGGATTGAGTGAGTTCCGGGGGCTCAGACCTCACATCACTGAAAAAGAGAAAACCAAGAGGTAACGGTGCCATATTGGTGCAAATATGCATTATGGCAAACGCTGGCTCCCCCAACATGGTTCCACTTTATCATCCTGTAGCTACTAATTGTAGCCGCCAGCTGGAGTAGCTGCCCTTATGGCATGCATCCCCAGAGGTAAGAGTACCACAATGTGCAAATATGCTTATGGCCAATGCTCCAAGCTCGCTCCCGTGATGGACTACAATCTCAATGCAATTTAGTCAACTAAAAATTAGGGATGCTCCGATATATCGGCCGCCGAAACATATCGGCCAAAAGTGCCATTTTCACTGCCGATGCATCCGTGATTTCTTTCCTTCCCGCTGGGCGCTGCTCAGAAATTGTGACAGCCGGCCGAGCGCTGCGGGAGGAGAGCGCTGCGAGTGGCCGGCGTCTCTCCTCATGCACCGCTCAGCCTCTTATGACAATCAGAGAGCGGTGTGTGGGTGGAGAGAGGCCGTGCTGTCACAGGAGGCTGAGCTCCCCTCCCTACACCGCTCGCTCAGCCTCCTGTGACAGCGTGTCAGAGAGGAGAGCGGGTACAAGCAGTCAGTGATCGCTGAGTGTTTGTAGATAATTGAGGCTATGGTATGGTGACTATATCCTCAATTATGAATGAATGGGAAGTGATATACATCACCTCCTGTTCATTCATGATTGTGGTTATAGTATACACACTATGCCCTCATGTTATGAATGATCAGGAACACTCAGTATAGAGGATTCCTATTCATTGATAACAGGGGACACAGAAAAAGAGATTGTGTCCTCAATCTCTTTATATCAGGGGTCTGTTTAGACCCCTAATATTTCCCTGAAGTCGCTAAAAGTAAAGTAAAAAAGAAAAAAAGGAATTAATATAAAACAAATTAAAAAGTTTATAAAAATAAAATATTTGAAAAAATTTAAATAAACATTTTTGGTTGCGGCCTGACTTTTTTATTTCGGTTTTGAAATTTCCATTTCGGTGCACCTCTACTAAAAATGAGATTGTAGTCCATCACGGGAGTGATCTTGGAGCGGTGATGACTACTTTACAACACACACAGGGGCCATTGGGAACAAAAGTAGCCACCCTCCAGAAGGAAGGACAGTGTCAGCACCAATTCAGAGATGATTGGAGGATCTACAGCCGAGTGATACACAAATAAGATGCATTGCTGTTCAGAGTTAAAGGTACTTGAATGTATTTTTAAGAGTTAACTTCAGAGTTTAGTGGCACGTTAAAGGCTGAACTATTTCTAGCTATTGAAAATATATTCCTAGTTCGTTTGCCCAAAGAATATAAAATCCACTTTGCAGGCTCTAAATTACCTCGTAAAAGTAGCAGTGACATCATCACTGAGCTGTACATAGCCTATGCAGAGGGAAGAGCTGTAAGAGGGGCCCAGCAGGCCCCATCCACTATAGGAAACTACAGAATGGGGAGGAGACAAGAGCAGTCACCCTGCACAAGGAGGGAGAGCAGCAGCGAGCGGTCTTTATAAAAGGAGGGTGCAGAGACAACACCAGTCACCCATGTGAGCGGTCTTTATGACAGGAGGGGGCAGAGACAAGACCGGTCACCCTGTACAAGGAGAGAGAGCAGTGACCAGTCTTTATTACAGGAGGGGGCAGAGACAAGACTAGTCACTGTATAAGGAGAGAGCAGCAATGACTTGACTGTATTACAGGAAGGGGCGGAGACAAGACCAGTCACTCTGCATAAGGAGAGAGCAGCAATTACTTGTCTTTATTACAGGAAGGGGCGGAGACCAAGACCAGTCACCCTGCACAAGGAGAGAGCAGCAGTGGCTGGTCTTTATTACAGGAGGGGGCAGAGACAAGACTAGTCACTGTATAAGGAGAGAGCAGCAGTGGCTGGGCTTTTTTACAGGGAGGGGCGGAGACAAGACCAGTCGCCCTGCACAAGGAGAGAGAGCAGCGGTGAACGGTCTTTATTACAGGAAGCTCCAAGTCTCACATTGGATGAAGCAATACACAAAGCTCACCAAGATTCAAGGAAGGCTACACAAGGATCTTGTATTTAGACAATAATTGTTTATCCCGGAGTTCAGCTTTAAATTGATCAAAACTAGGTTGCTATATGAGGACCTGCCTACACTACCCAATCAATCTGAAAGCATTGAGCCAGGCCCTGGTACTACATAGCTGTTGGTGGATCTAAAAGGTGATTGTACCCCTGTGTGGTGGGCTTCAGAGAGAATTTACCCCTGGGCCAGGGCCGGTCCTCGAACGCGTGGTAAGAAGCCAGTGCCAATCATCCCAGCAGTGGTTTCTTGTTAAACCGGTGCGGCAAAGAAAAGGTTAAAGAACACAAAGCTTCCGTTTTGTTTTTTTAATGCAATCAGCTTAACAGATTTGAGGAAAAGCAAACCCGTTAAGTGTTTGTTTTGGGAAACCCATTAAAAGAAAAACACACATCCGAAGCCCAAATTTCAGGCGCGTTGAATATGAATGTTTTAGCTCACAGCAGCTGTATGGTTCATGGATGGAGCAGTTTCAGCGAAGGCTAATTAGCGCTTCTGTAAACACTCGCTTCCCCGCATGAGCGGTATATAAAGCCCAGGATAAAGATCGCAGCGGCCTAATTCCTACTTAATATCACCATTACAAACATAGAGGAGCCCCGTCCGCCCCGAGCAGCGCCGAACTTCCAAAGGGCTCATTCATATTCTGCGCCGCAAAAGAAATTCTAATAGCAGCTGCGTCACAAGACAAGAATTTTCATTGCTTAGGTGATGTCCGCACTAACCATTCACCGGGGACTAGAGAAATGGGGGCAATGCCATGCTTCCTGCTTACAGGGCGCCCCCAACCCCTAGAGCAGTAGTTCTCAACCTGTGTAACTTTAGGAACCCACATTCGTCCTTGGTCATTAAAGGAGAACTATGAGACGGGTGCTTTTCACTCACCTCATAGTTCTAGCCGACCTGTGACAATGAGACTATCACAGGTCGGCTCAGTCGATCGGGAGATGAGCGAACACATACCGGCGTTCGCTCACTTCTCAATCCTGTCACAGCTCTCTGCCGTGACGGGGGAGGGGGCGGGTACAGCTGGCTCTGCCTCTGTCATAATTGTCGGGACCCGCTTCAGCTGCGGCGTGTCAGTATACCGCGAGCTGTAGCTCACTATATACTGAGCGTAGGGTGACGGTAGTTTGTGTCCTCCCGTTACCCTTAGGAGAACTATGGGGAAAATCCCTAACCCCATAGTTCTCCTTTAAGTCATGACCCAGGTTGCACCTCATTGAGGATGGGAGCCCCATTGAACTGTAGGAGGGAGGTGCGTTTGGGGTGCCATTCAAATAAGTGGCAATGCAACACACCTCCCACATCAGATTTCACAGTAGGTGCGATTGTGCGTGGTACAGTGAGTTAATCACACAGGACTGTGCGATTAACGCACTGTACTAGTGTGAACGGGCACTCAAAAACACTGCCAGACACAATCTCACTCACAGACAGAGACAGACAGACAGAGACAGACAGACAGAGACAGACAGACAGAGACAGACAGAGACAGACAGAGACAGACAGAGACAGACAGAGACAGACAGAGACAGACAGAGACAGACAGAGACAGACAGAGACAGACATTCTCATCCGCGCATACACACTCCCCTAAAAAACATCTCCCTACCTTACAAGAACTGGAATGGATCCTTAGCCTGGGGTCCAGTGTGGGCTGCTGTGCTGTGACAGAGCTCCATCCATATGTGCATTGCTTGTACAGCTCCCTTGCGTGCCTTGTAGAGGTGCCGGGAGCCAGAATGTGGCATTACTCCGGTCCAGGCACATGAGGGAGCTGTGCGCAATCCACGAATGGATGGAGCTCCCTCGTGACCATAGCCCCACCCCACCTCAAGCTGACACTCAGCACCCGGCAGCATATTTTGAATGGTTGCTTGGCATGAGAACGGCAGTGCTGCGCTAGGGGGAGGCTGAGCAGTCGCTCACCTAAAAAAGTGGAAGGCATGCGGCGACTCACTGAACACGGGGTCACGACCCACCAGTAGAGAACCAAGGCCCTAGAGCATTGACAGGACTTTGGGAAACCAAATAGCCATCTTACCATGATGTTCGGTAGAGTGGCGTAGCGTGGCTCGTTCAGTCTCAGGTCTGTGGTCACCACGGCGGGGAGTTTCATGCTGATGGTCTCCAGCCCGCCATCGATCTCCCGCACCACGGTCAGTTTGTCTCCTTCTACCGTTACTTCTGACGCAAACGTTGCCTACGGAAAAATAAAGAGGTCACCGATAGGAGCCTAGAGACTATGAACTATTCAGGCCCCAGAACTATTCTGGCACAATTAAATGGGAGGTCACAGTTCAAGGAGCCTTTAGCAGCCTCTGGAGGAACCCTCATTGAGAATGACTGCAGCAGTATTGTCTCAATAGGAAGATCACTGGAAGAGCGCACCCCTCCACCACCAATCCCTCCTGAGCAGGAGTTCCTACTCTTTAGGGGAAGATGTCGCCCCAGCAGATAGCCAGAGACTGTGGGGATTGTGCATGCAGGTTCCACTCTGCTGCAAAGTCTATGGCCAGCTTTACCTAGCTTCCCTTAATTGTAACCCCCCCCTCCCTCGCTTGAGATGCAGCTCTACCTGTATTCTACATCCATGGCCTGTTGTAATCCCCCACATCCCATGGCCGGGGAAAAAAAGATTTTGCCTGTGAGATGCGAAGTTTGCAGCAGGCCATGGAATACAGGCAAGGATGGATCCGAAGCAGAGGTAGGGGCGCACAGGGGGGGCTGGGTGAGATAGAGAATTGTAGTTTATGTAGTCAAACTCACGGCCGGGGTGATAACTGGCTTTTGCATTCCTAAAATCAGTCCATGGGAATGCAAAAGCCAATTGAAGCAGATCCGGTGCAGGTCAGAAGATGGTCAACTGCACCGGACAGATTATGAATGGTATAAGTGTCTCAAAGTGATCTCATCAACACAGGTCCTAAAGGGTTATTAGTCTTTATCTGGTTCTGCTTTTAATTAACTTAATAGAGAGCGTGTATGTATAGGTCCCTGTGCCACCCCCCCTCCTTTAACCAAGGACAATGTGAATGCTTCTTTGTCTTTAAACCTCCTCTGTAATTGTCACTTTCCAGGGAAGAAGAGACAGGCAGGAAGGACGACTACCTGAGGCCAGTCAAGCAGCGCGGCGGTCATTTGTCCAGTCTGATTACAGTCATCATCGATGGCCTGCAAGAGGAGAGAAGAGAGAGAGGGAGCTGAGCTGGAGGGCAATGCTGTACAGTATGATCGCACAGAGGCGCTGGGAGGCCGGCTTCCAGGGTGTGATTCATGGCGAGCGGGACGGCAATCGCAGTAAAACATGGAACAATGCGGGCAGTAAAGATCACACGTCATGTATTCAGAAGCCATCAAAACACACCGAGACCTTCTGATGAACCTCGCATAATAATAAAAAAATCATGTAAAGTTTTCCATCTGTTCATCCATTTTTATATAGTTAATTTTTAATTATACATCATCATGTCACTCCGTTGCATGACCCTGTACATAGGCCACAAACACGCTAGACTGCCATCATCAAAAACAAAATACAGTTATATATATATTACACACACATATATGTATGTATATATATACATACATATACACACACACACCGGGGCGAAACTAGAAATCACAGAGCCCCATAGCAAAATGTTGTATGGGGCCCTGTGACTTCTAGTTATGCCCCTTGCAGAGCCCACTCGAGATCCCACACAGCCCACCATAGACTCTCTATGGCGGGCTCTGCAGGGTCACCCTTAGGTGGGCTGGTCACACTCTTTACCTGTCCGCCTCCTCCTCCCTTGCGCGGTCCGGCCTCCTCCAGCACCACTGCTGGCTCTCATTGACTCAGCAGCGGCTCTGGAGACTAACGCGCTGCTGCACAGATTACGGTCAGTGATCTGAACAGCAGCGCATTCTTCTTCAGAGCCGCCAGTGACAGACAGCAGTAGAGGATGCCATAGCGACCCACGCAGTCCACTTGGCATCTGGCCAGGCCCCCCTGTGCCCCATAGCGGCCGCCTGGGTCGCTATGGCGATTGTTACGCCACTGTATACATATACATTTTTTTTTTTATGTATCTATACATACACTATATATATATATATATATAGAGAGAGAGATAGAGAGAGAGATAGAGATAGAGAGAGAGATAGAGAGATATATCTATCCAGATACAAAATGAGTTTTTGTATATTGGGACAAGGTGGCACCATTGAAGGAGTCAGGAATGTATTCATGGAGGCTTGCAAAGTTACTGACGGGTTCACTTTAATACCCAACTCCAGGTTGTAACAAAGAAACATTATCTGGATATATTAATTTTTATTTATTTTTTTAGAATTGACAAGCGTCAAAGTTTTTTTTTTTTGCGAATTAAATTTGTTGCTGTATCTTGTGACACTTCGGGAATTTTATTCATGCACACTTGTAAAATTTGAACGGTCCGCTTTAAAATGTACGCCCCGAGCAATGCGGAGGGCGACTGCCACATCCCGCACACGTATCAGATACCTGGGAGGGTCTGATTGCAAATGAAAGGCGGCACATGACGAGCGCATCCCCGTTATGAACTCACCTGCTTTCCCAGAAGCACCAGGTTCACGTTCTCTTTCTTGGCCACGGCGGCCAGGATCTTGGAGACCTGGAACGGTCCGAGCATTTCGGAATCCTTAGCTGGGACGTCCACGTGGATGCCTCGGTCCGCTCCCATGGCCAGGGCCGTCCTGATGGTCTCCTGCGGGGGACAGCAGAGTGGTTATGTCAGATGGGGAACTGTATAGTCCCGGAGTCGGGCTTTAGTTGTTCTTTTGCAATATACAAAACAAGTCTAAAAATAAATACAAATTAAAAGTAAAACTCTGCAGACGTACAGCAATGTAAACAACATTTTATGACAAACGATTATGTATATTTTAGGGTTTTATTATGTTTGTTTGTTTTTTTTTACACAACATATTTGTTTTCTCTGTAAAATCAGGAATATATCACAGAGACAACAACAAGGAAAACCCAAGACTGACGTTATATATTTTTAGCAGTGCAAGGTGGAAATAAGCCTGTAATGGGGTTTATCACACAAATCCCACACCTGTACGCGGCCCGGCGGGGGGTTAAATACCCCTTTC